AGAGAGAAGGAATGAAGGTGGAGGAAATCTGTACAAATATCAAGGGTGATGGAAAGAATTGAATTTGTTGACAATGGGAACTCCAATGAGCACAAAAGAACCCTATTAAGCGGGGGATAAAAAGGATTAAGCTCTCCTGCACCCTTGGATGTTTTGCTAGGGCAATGGTGACTGGTCCATTAGGATAAATGGGGCACTCAGTCTATCCTCTGCCAGCTCCCACTTGCTCACCTCCTTATTTACAACCTGTCCAGGGTGTGGCACCAGCTCTCAGCTCCTTCCTTCTTCATGCCAGTACTACCCTTGTAAAACTTGGCAGGGAGAAGGATGGGGGCAAACCTTGAATGAGATGGCTCTGCGTGTCACTGGCTCTGGCTCCACCTTATGCCCCCTCCCCCAGTCCTAATAGGCACCAGCCACCTCTGTGCTAGGAAGCTATTTGGAGGCCTCACCATTAGACAGAATGAAACAGCCTCCTCAGACGGTTCATTTTGGTTGTAATTAAAGGGCAACAAATCGTGAGTTACTACACTGTTATTTTGCAGTGCTGGGCAGTGGCAGACCCACATTTTGGGGGCTCAGAAGCTTAAACTGTTATGAGGCCCCCTTCGCAACCAGCAATGAGGTCTGGGTAGCTACTGCTGTCCTCTTCAGTGGGGTTGTTCCATGACAGCCTTTACAACATCTGTGCCAAACTTTGGGATTCTTGAAATATATACAACAAAAAATTAATAGATTTGAGTTGTGTGACTCTAAATAGGTCTACTAGACCCAATTTTTTAAGCAGTGTAGACTAAAGTTGCTTCTGGTGGGCCCTCTGGGATTAGGGGCCCTGAAACCCAAGCTTCATTAATTTTATAGTAGATCCACCCATCATGGATCTTGTGTCTTGTATTTTCTGACTCAGATGATAAAATAACATGACAAGACTTGGATATAATGTACCTTGACTTGAGGTAGGGGTGGGGGACATTGTTCTGCCTTGGGCAATGTAATACGTTGGCCTGGTAGAGATTTTTTAACAACCCTTAACAAGTGCATTCCAGCTTGTTTCTAGATTCAGGTAGGTAGCCGTGTTGGTCTGATGCAGTCGATATGTATGTATATATATATATATATATATATATATATATATATTTGTCCAGTAGCACATTAGAGACCAGGTAAGTTTGTTCTTGGTATAAACTTTCGTGTGTATGCACACTTCTTCAGATACATTGAAACAGAAGTCACCAGACTTTGGGATTGTTGAATCTCAGGAGGGTAGTAGGAAAAACCCCATCCCACCCTCCCACTATATATAAGGGTCTGGTGACTTCTGTTTCAATGTATCTGAAGAAGTGTGCATGTACATGAAAGCTTATACCAAGAACAAACTTAGTTGGTCTCTAATGTGCTACTGGACAATTATATATATATATATATATATATATATATATATATATATATATATATTCTTGTTGCAATATATGATGGAGAGAAGAAGAAGATGCAATACTTGCATATATGCATGAAGTGACACCTTCCGATTTTTCTGTTAGGAATAGCACACTAGGTCCATTTACAGTTGTTGATCTTGTAGGTTAGGAACATAGGCAGCTGCTTTATACAGAATCAGGCCATTGGTCCAGGTCTATGTTGTCTACATTTACTGGCAGTGGCTCTCCAGGGTTTCAAGGAGGGTTCTCTCCCAGCCCTACCTGGAGATGTTGGGGATTGAACCCGGGACCTTCTGTACTTCCATTGAGCTATGACCCTTCCCTATAAATGAAGTTCTTGTCTTAGAGCAATATTCAACTAAGTTATTCGAAATAGGCACACTGAAATAAATTAAGATGACTAAGTTAAGTTAATTAAGTCTACTTGGAGTAAAGCTAACTTGAACATCACCCTTAAGGTTAGTCTTTGTAAAGAATGCCAGCATCAGCCACAGACAATCACTGTTACCACTAGGACAGGCTTTCAGTTAAAATTAATTGGGAGTATTTATGTGTTCCTTCCTGGCCACACAGAATTCACTAACAATTTAAACCAAGTGTCCAATGATAAATGCTAATGACCACCAAGGGAAAACATGCGATACTCTGCTGCATATCAAATGCGTTCATTAGTATTAAGGCTATTGTGCCGAATAAAAAACTGACCTTGCAATCATCAGTTGCTTGAAATGTTATGACTTAAAAGTTTAGAGGGACTTGCATTACAATGTAAAACTAATTAGCAGCACGTCTGCTAATTGCTACATAATGCCGAGGTACTGTATATAAAATAAATGCATGATTAATACCCAGAACCAGTAGGAAGTGAAATTTACCAGAGTGGTGGCAGCAGTAGACGTAATTTACGTACCATTGTGGGCTCTTAAAAATGTATCAGCATGTATCAGAATGTTGAACACCACTGTCTTCTGCAACCTTTGTCAGTTAGCTTCCCCAGAGTCCTCCATGAACACCAGCAAAAATTATCAATGTGTTCAAATCCAATTGGAAACAGCTGGCATAGAACATGGAAAATTCCTAGGCTAAAACCATTTAGCCTAACCCAGTTACAAGTAGCCTCCAACAAAGCTGAGGCTATGAACCATTCCATTCCATTGACTACAAGTTGTGTTTGCTTCACCTGAATACCAGGGGCTTATTTCAATGTCATCAGCAGAGTGCCTTGGGACATACACTTTTCACAAACATCTGTTCTTAATGCTAAAAGTGCCCCAAGAGCAAGCTAGCTCCAAGAACATGCTGCAGGAATTAGCAAGGAAGAGTTGTGACAGGGCAGTGGAATATATTTTACATAAGCTTTTTTAAAAAAACTTAATTGGTGTGGGGGAACCCTTATACAGTAGCTGATCACTGAGAATAACCCCACAGAAAATGATATGGAGTATGTTACACTCACACACCAAATGGAAGGATTACTGGCAATATGGAATGGCAGCAAGGTTTAAAATATAGTTACAGAGCAACTATTAAAAGTAAATCATCCTTCCACATTGTTGCAGATTGCCATAGAGCAGGGGAGAGGGCAAACAAACATCTATGTCTACAATTGTCCTACTCTTGTTACTTATTTTATTCTTTGACTTCCTCACTCTCTTCCTCTTACCTTTTCTGCTTTCTTCCATCTTTCCCCTATATTATTTTCATTTTTCCCTTTTTTAAAAAAAGAGAGGGAGTGGTAGAAGGACAGGACAATAGTATTGACCTACCTTTTAGATCAGGGTACAACCCATGTAGAATTATTGAGTTGGAAGGGACTCCAAGGGTCATGTAGTGCAACTGTTATGCTGGGGTAGCTCAATCGGTAGAGCTATGAGTCTCTTAATCTCAAGTCTGCGGGTTCACACCCACTTTGGGGAAAAGATTCCTGCATTGCAGGGGATTGGACTAGACCCTCGTGGTCCCTTCCAACTCTACAATTCTATGATTCTATGAACTCTAATGTTTAGGTCATGATTCAGCAAATGAAGACTTATGAACCTGCTGCTAGGGACTATGGGGTGATGGTCTGATGTCTTGGAAATTATGCATGCTGCTAGACCTAAAATCCATTATTGTGATTCCTTCTCTAGCTCTCTATGTTTTTAAAGATTGAAAGATCGATAGACAGACCGACAGACCACACTTCACCCAAATATGGATTTCAGGGCAATATGCAAAGAAACACTATAGGAACACTGTGGCACAAACCAACAATACAAGAAAATTAAGAGGGATAAATCTATTCACCCAGCTAAACATAGAATAAACTAAATCCAATTATTTGCCTGGCCAAATAAAAATGTTTTAACCTGAAGCCAACAAGACTATAGTTTCAGCACCAGGTGGTACCACTGGGATACCACCACAAAGAAGGCCCTTTCTTTTGTATATACACAATGTAATTCTCCTAAAGATGGCACACAGAGAAGGGCATCTTCTGACAATCTTAGGGTCCAGGCAGGTGAATATGGGAAGAGGCGCATTGGGGCCCTGAGTGCTTTAGGACTTCAACAGTAAACAACAGTACACTGAATTGGGACTGGCAAAAAATGGATATGTATTAGGAGAAATGTGCACTAAAATGCTGATGAGGACTTTTAAAAATAAAAACCCCCACAACTGAAGTAGAAATGCAGAAAACTGAATGTAACAATGGAAAAACTGAAATTGACATATTCACTCATCCCTATTAAAATGGATATTCAAAGAAGCTTGTGTATAAAATGAAGGGAATGAAAGGAAGAGTGAAAGAGAACTGCAAACAAGTACACACAAGTATTAGCACAATCAAAGACCATAGTGCTCCATCAGAAGCAACAAATGCTCAAGTTACAAATACCAGAAGAGACAACTTTATAAATGCCTTTGCTCTTTATTTTGTGTATGTCCTTCCTCTTTCCATCTGTCGCTTTCAATAGTGGGGGGAAATTGAGCTGCTGATAATTAAAATTGAATCTTTGTTCTGTGCCATTTCTAGCTGTGGGAAGCCACAATCAGAGTGGCACAGCAATATTTTTGATATTCATATAACACACACACACACACACACACACACACACACACACAATGCAACCAACGATGGCAAGCCAAGCTATTTTATAAGTGCTCTTTGTAACGTGTGGTATCGAGGGGAATCTTCTTAGATGTTTCCACGGTGGCTTCAAAACACGTGCGGTGTTAAATACGGAAACTAGATACTGAATTAATGAAGGTAGCTTCAAAGATTCCTCCTCCCTTCCGCAAGCCAAAGATCTGAAGGCGATCTCGAAGTGGGTGACAAGCCTTTGAAAATTATGCAGAGCAAACAATAAACCTCATTAAATAAAAGTCAGCAAAATCAGCTTGGAAATCCAATAAAGGAGGAGTTGGAGGCGAGAGAGAGAGAGAGGTATAGGAAGTGGGACCTGATTGCTACTTTTCCTAGTGTTTCATACAATCATAAAATCATAGAATTGGAGAGTCAGAAGGGCCCCCAAGGGACATCTAGTCCAACCCCTGCAATGCAGGAATCCTGCCCAAAGCTGTCCCTGGGCAGGCTTGAACCATCAGTCTTCTGTTTAACAGCCAGACCTCCTAACCTACTGCACCACAGAGATCACAGAGGCCAATGAGAATGGTTGGGAAATGGTGTCCCACTCACAACTGCAAATCAGCAAAAGCCCTGATTTTCTGGACCGGACAAAGGGTCTGTCAAATTTAATATCCTCTATCCAACAGTAGGCAGCAATCTGGCTGGATGCCAACAAATGGGGCATGAAGTTCATGAAAATTCCCTGCTGTTTCCCCGTCTCTGGCATTCAACAAGACGTTTCCTCCATATGTAGACATTCAATTAAGCCATCATAGTTGACTAGAATGGAAGAATCTGCCTGTTTCAGTTCTCCAAGGTTCTTATTTTTCCCAATCTTAAATTCAATTCTCTGCATTTCTGCAGCAAATTCATCAGTGTTTTAGTTCAAAGTTTTCCTAATATGTTTTCATATGCATTTTTGGCTAACATATGCAGTTTTGCAAGCAGTATATGCATTTGTGCATATATTGCTTGGTCAGAGGACTCCATCACAAAATTTGGAGAAGGGTGATGTTCAAAGGATAGCTGCATTTCTGTTTGCATATTTCTCCTCCATCCATAGATGTGGATGGAGCTATTACCAACCATCCACATCTCTATGCATGGCTGAACACAGGAAGAGGACCAGAGATGGTTGCTGTTGTGGGCCTTTTGGCTTTGGCAGGACCTGGCATGATTTGGCAGGCCTAGGAACAAGATGAGAAGGAGCAGATTGGGGACTGGAAGGTGGGCATTCAGGGAAAGCAGATGTCAGAGGGGAGGCAGTGTATATACTGGCTCTCTCCCCTGCCCCTCCTGTGGAGCACACAGCCTCATCAGGGAACGTGGAGGTATTTGACCAGCCAGAGGGAGGAACTGAACAGGAGGAAATGGCATCAGAGTTGAAGGCAGAAGGGCAAGAGTCAGTCTTGTGCCTGAGAACCAGGCACCACCTTTGTAGATGGAATCAGATGCAACTACCCTGATGGAGTATGTGGGTGCAGTCTGATGGTGTGTGCAGTAGGCACATAGGGCAAAAGAGTCCCACAAGTGAGCCTGCCCTGCCTCATCATTAAAAGCTTGGCAGCAGGGGTGTGTCAACTGTTGGGATATCTTCATAGCTTCCATTTGTTTTGAACCTGTGCAGTTCTAATCCGTGCAATGGGCTGAGCTCCCGTTGCTCTGTCCCAGCTTCTCCCAACCTAGCAGTTTGAAATCACACCAGTGCAAGTAGATAAATAGGTACCACTGTGGCAGGAAGGTAAATGGCATTTCTGTGCTCTCTGGCTTCCATCATGGCTTTCGTTGTGCCAGAAGCAGTTTAGTTGTGCTGGCCACATGACCCAGAAAGCTGTCTGTGGACAAACGGTGGCTCCCTTAGCCTGCTGGACACCCCATAGTCACATTTGACTGGACTTAACCATCCAGGGGTCCTTTATCTTTACCTTTACCTTTGCTTATGTATCTTGGGACCTTGCCTTCTGGACCTTGTGGTTGCTGCTGTGCCTGAACCACTCTTAGTCTGAATAAAAATATCTTATTTTTTCGCAAGTAAGAGTTGCTATTGTTGTGTTTTGGGATAAGAGTCCGATGGTGAAAGCATTCAAAGGGTTGGTTTTACTAAAGTAGCTCCAGGGGAAGCAAAAATGTGGAGTTTGGCCTATCCAAGTATTTTATGTCTGCTGTCTGCCTAGGTTTACCCTGGGGAAAGAGTGAGCCATAAGTAGCTTCTGGGAGACGAAGGTTACAACCCTATTTGGATATACCAGGAGCTAAGTCCCATAAAACATAGTAGGTCTGATTTCTGAGTGCATGTGCATAGAATTGCATTGTGTAACAATGACTCAGGAACACTGGATGCCACTTCTGAAGATGACAACATGGAATATGGCTCATCATGTTGCACTTTGGGTTATGACTGAGTGTAGATTTGGTGCATCCCTTCTGCCCAAAATGGCCCTGCCTTTCCAGGGTACCTCCAACCACATTCAGCAATTCAAAATATAAAATTGGCTTGTTCCCTGCCTTTTTTATCTGTTTCTGAAATGAAAGCAAATGGTTCCTTCCATCTGATATTTGTTAGAGGCTTGCCGTTTGGGCTCGTTTTTTAAAACTAATTTTATTCTCCGCATTTGTTCGCAATTTATGCAGCAAATGCAATTATTGAAGATGAACGCCTGCAACAGCTGAAGGCTAAAAAGTGCCACTTCCTTGGAAGCCAAAGGAAAAGAGAAAGATGGGATAGTAGAAGGAAAACGAATATTAAAAAATATAATCTCTCCACAATACTTCTCTGAGAGGATACATACACCTTCATAAAAATGTAATTTAATTTTCCCAATGTGGTGCAAAAGGGAGATCTAATTATCCTCTTCTAAATTGCTTTCTTAATTTCTTAAATCTTCGCTCTTTGTTTATTTCTTTCCCCGAGCTCTGCTTCCAGTGTGTAATAGCAGCTACTTCCATGTGTGGGTCAGTGATAAACCTACTTGAAATTGACGCCCTTTTGATGCAAGACGTCAAAGCCCTAATTCTCTGCGTGCCTCCTCTGTCACTCTTTAGCGCTTTTTCGAGGGCCTCGGCAGGGTAGAAGAGTAACTTGATTTGAATGCATTCTCAGCTAGAGGCAATGTGGGATGATGTAGAAATCAACCGCCACCTTCCTGCAGCTTATGCCTAGACTAGATACTTCAACCGTACTATATTAATCTTCACCAGTTTTATTTTTCTTTATCTTCTTTTACTTATATTTCTTCAAGGCTTCACAGTCTTCTTAAAATGTGGCAATGTGGGTGAGAATCTTTCTCACTAGAATAGGGGTGGGGAACCTCAGGCAAGGGGGGTCAGGAATGCAGTCCCCTCCAGACTTCTTGATCTGGCCCTCAGGACTACCCCAGGTCTACATTTCCTCAAGAGAGTGTTGCTGGAGAATTTGTGTTGCCTGTGGAGAGTCCCATGGGCCAGACAGAGAAGGCTAGAGGGCCACATTGGCTCCTGGGCCTCAGTTTCCCCACTCCTGTCTTAAACCCATACTTCCAGCAGCATCAATGTTAGAAAAAAAATCTATCTCTATGCATAGAGAGAGAGCTGGTTAGTTGAGCAAAACCAATCTCAAGCATATCTGAGTGATAATCACTTGTGACCTGAAGCACAATGTTAGAGTTGGAGTCAGGCATGGGTCAGAATTAAAGCAATCAGTCACCAGTGCCAATGAAGTTAGCTCTTTATTCAAGGAAACAGAAATAAACTCAGGCCTAGTGGTCTCAGCAACCCATCCTGGCAGGCCTTGCCCCAATGAAACAGTTCTGAGGACTGAAAGTCCCTGCCTTCCCACCCCTCTCTAAGTCTCCTCCTCTCCAGGGTTTCCCCCACACAGTCTCAAACAGAGCCTGCGCACAGCTAATCTCTGTTGTGTTTTTTTTCATTTCTCTGTGTTTTCTTGGAGACCGGGGGGAGGGGAGCTGGTCACAGCAGGTGGGGGAGACTCCTTGGATTCTGCAGCAGCCTCTTGACCCCCTTTCTCTCCAGCTTCTGCTTCAGCCTCAGAGTCTGCACCCCACTCTGACACAGACTCTTCCTGCTCACTAACCCCTGTTGCCCCTCCAGCTTCTGACACCTCCTCCTTCCAGCCTTCTCTCTCTTCTCCCTCTGACCACTCATTGTTGTCCCAACACCAATCCCCTGGCTCTGAGCCTTCTTCTCCTGGGGGTTCCCCAGCTGGTGCCTCCCACCATTCCTCTGCATCCAACCAGTCCATGGCAACCAGGAGACCCCTTCCACACATATATATAGAGTGACAGCCAATATTAGGGTTGCATCTAACTGAGTTCTACTCAGAGCAGACCCATGAAGATTAATGAAGCTAAGTTGGTCAAGTCCATTAATTTCAATGCATTTCCTCTGGTAGGATTAGAACTGGGTGCAATCCGTAGTCCTACACAGAGTGGGTCCACTGAAATTATTACACTTAAGTCTACTGACTTCAATAGGTCTTCTGTGGGCATATCCAGTGTTGGAAATCACCTTCAATGTGTGATGCAGATCATGCCAAGTGAATAAGTTTTCCAGGCCCAAAGAGACCAGGTTAAGCTGCCATTTTCACATTGCTTTTTAACATTCATGCTGCCTCGTCTTCTTAAGCATGTGATGCATCTTGCAAAGTCAAGGATGAAAGCATCCAATGGGATTGCCCTGAAAATTGCTTTCAAAAAATATACTCTTGCTCTTTCTTCATGGAAGCATTACATTTTGGGTTTATTTTGCAGGGAGAGATGTGAGTCGCTCCCTCTAGGATCTGCAATTCAAACCTGATATGCACAGGTCAAGGACTAAACTGTTTCTAAGTACACAGGACTGAGCTGTCAGTTGATTGCAAAGCTTGGCTGCAAAGCCTGGCTGTTCAATAATGCTCTAATTAACTACCGCAAATGGCAGAGGACCCAGCTAACTATAATTGAGAGATCAACAGAGGCTGTGATGGAGTTAGATGTGCATACTAATTACTGAATTATCTAACACCTGCTTTGGAGAGAGGATCTGAAAAAAAATTACTATAGCATGGCCCTTACTTTTAAGACATGTGAGTTGGTGTCATGCAAAATCGGATCCTCTTGAGATGGTTGAAGTTTGAAAAACAGAACTTCCTTTTTAGCGCCTGCAGACTCTCTGAAGTTGTTCCTAGGGTTCACACCATGAAGCTGCTTCCTTCTGTCACCCTTTTTTATTTCTTGACAATCAAGCCTGCTTAACGATGCTCAACTTGTGAAAAGCTATCAAACAGCTTTTCAAACATCAAATCAAATGCTCCCACAACAGTGGTGAAGATGATATATCTTCTGGGAATCCAAGCAAAAAAACTTTTGACTGTTAATCTCCTCCCGCCCTCCCTTTCTCCTCTACCTATCACTTTCTGCCCCAAAACAATTTTATGGTGAAATATCCAAAACATCTGCAGGTCACTAGGTTGAGGGAAGACTAGTCATAACTGATGTCTCAAATATTTCAAGCAGTTTATATAGTATTTCACTTAGATGTCAAAAGTTTCTACCCATTTTTAATTATCTTTATGTCGTTTCTGAAACACACTGAGCTATAATAAATGTTAACAGTTGGCTGGAACTTTTGAGAACTACCATAATTTCTCCTTTGGAATTATTTCAGCTTTCTGTGCCCCACCCTTGAAGGGAAGCTTTGCTTCTGCACATGACTGTGGCATGATGGGAAGTTTTGCTTCTAAGCTTTTCTTCTGCACATGCTGCACAAACCGTTCTAATACCAAGACATTCCCTCATCACCCTAGAATGTTCAGTTCATATTGAGTTCATGAAAACATTATACTCTGACCTGTTCTTAATGCATAGTTGACCACATCTACGGAACGCGATTGTTATGTTCTTTCATGTCATGCAAAAATCAATCATTAGTAATCGTTTAAGTCTTGATAATCAATCACTAGTTATAATTTAATTAGGAGGTTTCATGCCTGTCTAGTTCTGTGCTCCCTTTCCCAACCTTTAATCTATTGGTGATTAATGTAATATGTAACCTTTGCTTTGTACTTGTGTTAACCAATCAGCAATAAGCACATATGTGGCAAATGCTGTAATATTCAATAAAAGGGACTGTCCGAGACTTGCTCGGGAGATGCCTCCCGTATGACACCTTGCCATTCGTCTGTCGCTCATTTCAACCCAACACACCCTCCTGTTTTATTTTTGCTGCCCTTGCCCACATCACGTATCATAACATCAATTGCATTCCGTGGCTTCTCCTGATGGGGTTGGGCAGGGGCCCGCTTTTCGGCTCTTCTGGGGAAGAGTAGGAAGGGCAACTGAAGTTGGCAGATAAGGCATATGGTACAGTACTATCAGAGGCATGGGCTGTCTTTGTTTAGGGGTGGGGAACTTCCAGCCCATGTGTCAGTCTTGGCCTACAAGGGGGCCTGCAAGGCCTTTTCCCCCAAACCATGCCTACCTGTCCATCAGCTGAGATCACTGAGTAAAGTCAACTGATGGGCTGGAAGACATTATTCAGACTTGCTGGTGTCTGTTTTCTCAGTACATTTGCCCTGGGGAAAATGCTGGCAAAGCAGACCCCTTGCAGTCAACAGGATTGCACTCTCTGCTTGCTAACTGGTTGAGTGGAGTACAATCCCACCTGACAAATTTGGCCCTCCAGGGGTGGGGAAATAATGATCTGTCCCATCAGCGAGAGAATGTCCCCCAACCAGCTCTGGTGTCATAGCAGTTTTTGTACCCTTCCCTTCCTTTATGCAATGCAGTGTTAGCCAGTTGCCTTTGGAGAGGAGTAGGGATGATTTTTTTTTTTAACCTATCTCTGAGATTGTCACAACTGGCTAGTCTTTCACCTACAGAGCGCTAAATTGTTGGGGGTTGGTGAGCATCCTTAGTAGTAACAACCTTTCATGAGGTTTATCTGAGTACATTTTGGCAGGTTACAGTTAAGTTGAAGACCATTAGGCAATTTTTACAGTGAAAGATTTGTCAGAAGATTTGGTTTCTGGGCTAGGAGGCCTGTTAGAAGGGTAAGGATTGGCACTGGGGCTAACTTTTACCACCTGCTTGGAGTTGTGGGGGCCCCAAGAGAGGATAAATCGGCAAAGCATCCCTACCCACCAGAAAGGATGGCACTATGGGAAGGAGCAAATCTTACCACTGTCCTGGGACATAGACAAGTCTGGCTGAGTTAACAGAATTTTATTACACCCACACAGATTTGTCACCCTGAAGATCTTTGTAGACAAATACAATAAATGTGGTTCACCTGTCTTCTCTCTGCTTATTTTCCTGGTTATGGCTGCAATCCATTTCACTAGTTTGTTTATTTTTAAAAAGAAATGAAAGGACCCTCTTGGCGTCATACCAATGAGGAGTTCACAGGTCCATAACACTGTTATGTTACTTGAGTTTTGTAAAATACCAAAGAGAAAACGCTGCGACAGATTCGGTGAACAGGGTATTCTACCGCTCAGATAATGCAGAAATAAAGTGCATTTGTAACCGACAACAAAAAGGATTATCCCCCATTCATTTCAAAGCACCCTTCATTCCACCCAGGGATTACATTTTCCCTTTACTTATCTTGCAAATGCTTTTTCTCCCCTCCCTCTCCCAGAAGAGCACATGGCTTACAGCAAATATAAAAAATGTGACTGGGACAATGAAAGCAAGTTTGGCTGGGGGTATTTTCCCATTCTTCCCTGTACATTTTATGGCTATAATCTACCCAGAACAGAGGAGAGGAAGCGAGATCCTTTTGACAAAACAGCAGCCTTGAATTGCTCAACTTTAAAACTCAAGCACAAAAAATGAGAGGAATCGTTCTTCAGCCCTAGCAAAATCTTCACCACATTTATTTAATTATTACTAGGTGAGAATGGATTGTCAATTGCATTTTCTAAAGAATTTCAAAGAAACCAAGAGGGATTATAACCTTTGGCAGATATAACCTTCCAACCCTTAGCTAGGAAACAGCCTTTTATCAAGTCATACCACCAGGTGGCATGGTGACACGGGTGGCACTGTGGTCTAAACCACTGAGCCTAGGGCTTGCCGATCGGAAGGTTGGTGGTTCGAATCCCTGCGACTGGGTGAGCTCCTGTTGCTCAGTCCCTGCTCCTGCCAACCTAGCAGTTCGAAAGCACGTCAAAGTGCAAGTAGATAAATAGGTACCGCTCCAGCGGGAAGGTAAATGGCGTTTCTGTGTGCTGCTCTGGTTTCACCAGAAGCGGCTTAGTCATGCTGGCCATATGACCCAGAAAAACTGTCTGTGGACAAACACCAGCTCCCTCGGCCAGTAAAGCAAGATGAGCGCTGCAACCCCAGAGTCGTTCGTGACTGGACTTAACTGTCAGGGGTCCTTTACCTTTACCTTTTTACCACCAGTCCATCTAAAGGTTGCCAATGTGGTGCCTTCTGGATGTGTTGAACTCCTATAATCCCTAGTGGCGCTTAGTTTGCCCCCCACCCAAAAAATATTTTATTCAAATTGGCACCCCTGACCCAGAGATGCCATGGACTGAACCTGGGAAATCCTGCATGCAAAGCAAATGTTCCAGCATTGAACTATGGCCCTTTGAGCAAACTATAAAACACTTAGGCACCACGCACACATTCAAACCTAAACCCAAGGAGCTCACAGCCCAAATCCAGTTTGGATAACACTGCTTGCAAATATGTAGGGACATTTAGGTGGTGACCAAAGTAAAATAAGTCACTGGTACTTCCGCAGAACTTGCATTATTGAGATGTGGAGGTAGAGCAAAGCCCACTATCTGCATCATGAAGCTTGCATCCAAATGGATGCTCAAGTTTGGAACCATAACTTCAGGTCTGTGTCTAACTCTAAACTTACTGCTTAAAGCCTTTAGGTTGGCTGAAGTTATAAACATCTCATTAGCTCTTCTGCTGGTTCCATCATCTTGGGCCAGACATACCGTAGTTTTCCATGTATAAGATGAGGTTTTTTCTTTTAAAAAATATGTTTAAAATTGGGGGTCATCTTATATATGGATAGTGCAGAGGGGGAACGGGCGATTTGTTGCAGCCGCAAGCAGGAGATTGCCAGTGGCTATTGGGCGGTTGATTGGCAACTGCAGCTAGGGCGGTTGTAGACTGGGTGGGCGATTGGTGGCTTTTGTGGCCCCTGTGATTTTAAGCATCAGTCAGTCGGGTGATTGATTTTCGGCAATACCCTTCCCCCAAAAAGCTCAACAACTCTGGGCAATCCTCCCCCCAAAAAGCTTAACAACTCTACAATTCTTGACAATCTCTCCCCCCCCCCCATTTTCTTAATTTGGAGTCCCCAAAAACAGGGGGCATCTTATATACAGGGGGTGTGTTATACACAGAAAAAGACGGTAATTCTTAAGTATCTTTTGCACATCTTGACCACCCTTAAACTTTGAGTTTCAAATGTATAACCTGGAACTCCAAAAAATATATCCTGCATTTCACACTGTATAAATAGCACCTGCTACTTCAGTGGAGTCAAAAAGCAGCTGGATGCAGATTAGGAACAATTGCAGCCCTCCAAGCTGTCTGCTCCTGAACCAGTTAATAAAACTCTGATTCACACATGCATCTGTGTTACTCCACTATTTACTTTACAGTGCAGGCAGTTTCAGTGCATTGTATCTGAAGCAGCAGGAGAACGCTGGTGATGGCTGTTCCACAAATGGAAGATATCACAAAGTAGCTGCCATTGGGTGCACACATACACACTCTGCCCACATGTGCTTCCATCTGCTAGAATTCCTCCGGGGTAAGGGAAACACACTTTGCAAATGTTCAGAGGCAATTTTTGTTACAATTATTTCATATATTCCAGATCTGAGATTCTGCATTGAGGCTGTGTGTGTGTGTGTGTGTGTGTGGTGGGAACTCTGGTTCAAATTAATTTCTAATATGGGTTGAGGTATGAGTGAGGCACACAGTGAAGGCATCTCGAAACAGTCTACCCTGAGTCAAATTAGACTAAATAGCAAAAAAGGAAAGAACACATTCCCTATTCCTGACACGCGGATGGCTAGTCTATACAAATTAGTGTTGTACCGAAATATTTTTTCTGCATTTCCCCCACTGACCATTCTCTGTCAATTAATGAGAAAATAAATTGCATTCAAAAATTATCAAAGAGGAGAGAATATTTCAGTGAAATTCTCATGGGTGAGTTGCAGGGATTTTGCCGAGCTTACCTTACTTTCCAGGTTGCTAAGGGTTGCAATCTACGTATGTATTTTCCTGCCATTCCACAAATTTTCTCACCAGTGGTCTCAGCCTTCCTGTGTGCCTCAATTTCAATCAAAGCCCAGGAGAAGGCATCACAATGCAAATCACCCCATTGGACTTTGTCTAATCAGGAAGTGCAGGAAGCTGGGAAGGCTGCAGAGTGCCGGAAAAATATTAACTGGGAACATACACACTCACACAACATCCTTGATCACATCACAATGATGTGGTAAGCTCAAAACACTGCAGAGACTGAAATTCAAAGGTAAGCTTTAAGTGCCCATAGAGTGAAGAAGGACAATGGAAGCCTCTTTTGCAGGGAACTTGTTTTTAAATAGCATTAATATAACAGGCAGATCTTGTGACACAACTGATCACTTCAGACAGCAGGTGTTGTGATTGCAGGACCAAACGTTACCACATGCAACACTCCTTCAAGTATAAACTACGTGCCAGGAAGAAGACTTTTAGCAAAGACTTCTCCCTGACGTGCTAGCTTTCTAGGTACTGGGGGGAAATGTTGTGGGGAGCAAACACGCAACAAAATTGAAGCGGTTTGAAGAGGTGCAGTTCAGAAACAGGTTTGCCAAATAATGCAAGTTTGCTTGAGGAGACCAGCCAAAAAATAGTACAGTGGTACCTCGGGTTACATACGCTTCAGGTTACAGACTCCGCTAACCCAGAAATATTACCTTGGGTTAAGAACTTTGCTTCAGGATGAGAACAGAAATTTTGCTCTGGTGGCGCGGCGGCAGCAGGAGCCCCATTAGCTAAAGTGGCGCTTCAGGTTAAGAACAGTTTCAGGTTAAGAACGGACCTCCGGAACGAATTAAGTAAGTTCTTAACCCGAGGTACCACTGTAATCATATCAAGCTTTGGTTATAGACTTATACAGGGAAGAACAAAAAAGGGAAAACGGGGGGGGGGGGGATAAAGCATCACTACAGGATACAGTTTAAATACAGAACTTAAACTTTTAAAACTTCCAGTAACCTTTATTTCTTTTTTAAAAAAGTAATTAAATGGCATGTTCTTCAGAAGCTCTGGACTTCAGAAGGCTGTTATTTTGTCGTCTTCGTCGTCCCCCCCCCCCCCAGTTTGGAGTTGGGGGCATGAGAAGAGATTTAAGATAATGGCCCCAAATTCTTTAGAATAAATTAAGCTTGAGAAGATAGTGAAACCCATTACTGGTGCCTTTCAGCAAAGACCAGGCATTCTTCTAAAGTCAAACTTTAAAGCATAATGTGCAGTGATCTTGTTGAAATCTTTCCTGTAATGATATTTAAGTGACAGAAATATGTATCAATGGGTTCAGGCTTTGTATTGATTACATACCTTTAGGGATACTGAGCCCCATCAGAGTACTTTTGGTGGAAGAAATGCGTACAACAGGCTTTAAAAAGAAACTTTAAAGGGGGGAAAGGGGAGCAAAGAACTAATTATTCTGGGAAGTCGTGACAGTTTAAAGAAAGGGGGGAAGAAGCAGGGAGGAAGTAAATCAACTCAGGGTGGGGAAAGGATGCGCCTTAAGGAGAGAAATATGGGACACAGAGCCCTAACGGGTGATGGGGAGAGCTGCCCCCACCCCACACAGTCAGCTCATGCTTCCTGCATTCCATTTAATATTCCTTTCAAACTCACTTTTCTCTTTCTGCAAGAGAAAAGCTGACAAAGGAAAAAACCATCTTTAAAAGAAAAAGGCTTTTTGCGACTTCTAAAGGCACAGCGAGGTAGCTTTTGAGAATGTTGAAAACTCGCTTCCCTTAAAAAAAAAAAGACACACACAGAGAGGGGGGGAGGGAGGGAGAGGGGTCCTCTAGTCATTGCTTGCATGATAAATGTGGCTGTCATTCATTCATTCATTTATAACAGGGGTCAGCAAATGTTTTCATCAGGGAGCCAGTCCACTGTCCCTCAGAGCTTGTGGGGGGCCGGACTATATTTTTTTTTGGGGGGGGATGAACAAATTCCCATGCAAGAACACCAGGCAATCCCCACAAATAACCCAGAGATGCATTTTAAATAAAAGGACACATTCTACTCATGTAAAACCACACTGATTCCCAGACTGTCTGCGGGCCGGATTTAGAAGGCGATTGGGCCGCATCTGGCCCCCGGGCCTTAGGTTGCCTACCCATGATTTATAATATTAATTATTCTTGACAGTGTGATACTTGTGTGTGTGTGTGTACAGGGGTAATCAGTGGAGTTGCCTCCCCGTTCCTAAAGCACCATTCCAAGGAATTTGGGTGGTGGCAGAGAAAAGTAAAATCTGCTAAGTAAAGATACTGCAAGCAGCCCTCAAATATATTAAAGGCCATCTCCTTCCCTAAGATCAGCAGAGGGGGCCTTCCTAGTTCTGTTGCCCTCAAAAACTTGGGAGGTGGTGGTCCAGGATAGGGTATTATCTGTATCAGCCCCTAAACTGTGGAATCCCCTCCACACAGAGATGCGCCTGGTACCTTCATTGCATAGCTTTTCCTCTTCACCATGGCCTTTGACAGCTGTTAAGTAGATAGAAAGTTAGGTCAGTGGATAGATTCACCCTATTATTCTAACTGTAAATTGTTTTGACTGATTTTAATATTGTTGTAACCCACCCTGGGGCTATACGGCAAAGGGCAGGTAACAAATCTATTAAATAATAATATCAACTTCCATCAGTTGCTCCACTGAAAGTTCAGTTCCATCTCTTCCTCAACTATCACCTGCCTGTAGCAAACCTGCAAGCAGGACTCGAACACAAGAGCACTCTCCACATACCCCTTCTTTGGTTTCCAGCAACTGTTACTTAGAAGCAAGGCCGATTCATCCATAAGGCAAGGTGAGGAGACCGTCAGGGGTGGCAAGTTCACAGGGGCAATAGCTCCGGACTGCAAGATGTGCAATCCCTGCTGCTGCTGCCGCCACCAAGGCGGCAGCAATGACTGCAGTGCATTCCTTGGAGGGCAGATCTGCTGCCTCCTTGTCAGCAGACTCCTGCCTCTACAGGAGCCACTTGGTGAATAGGTGAGCCAGCCCTGTGAAAGCAGGAAATAGCATGGCCATCATATCCTCCCTGAATTTGTCCAATTTTTTTTAACAAAGCCATTCAAATTGGTGGCCATCACTGCCTCCTGTGGGAGTGAAGAAGTATTTTCTTTTATCAGTCCTGAATCTTAGAGAATCTCCATAACCTTTTTTTCCTGAACCTTTTCAGAGGACAGCTCAGCTCGTTTTGGCAGACACTGGCTCCTGGCCTCACAGTAAAAGATCTCCAAAAAGAATTATATAATTATGCATATAGGAAGCTGCCTTGCACTGAGCCTGATCATTTGTCCATCTTGCTCAGTATTGTCTATACTAATAGCAGCTCTCCAGAATTTCATGCAGGGGTCTCTCCAACCCTACCTGGAGATGCCGGAAATTGAACCTGGTACCTTCTGCATGGAGAGCAGATGCTCTACCACTGAACTATGGCCCTTCCCCAAATTGCTATTAGCTATTAACCCTGTGAAATATGTTAAAACTGCTCCACAAAAAGTTGAGGAGCTATATAAAGTCTAAAGCCCTACACAGAGCTTTTCATTCAGTAGAGTAAACTTTCTAATACTCTGTCCCCAACGTAGACTAATTAGCAAACATAGAATAAGTGTCATTTGGGCACTATAAATATGCTTCTGGTTTAAGACATTATTATCTTAAAAAAGAAAAGCCTTACAGCCTTCTACTGTGCATTTACAAGAGGAAGGAAAAACCAACACAAAGCCTCTTTCGCAATTAACACTTGCTACAAACTTTTGAAGTCTAACGTATTTTCTGTTAACAATGCAGGGGACATAGTTACGTACTTATTAAGAAGAGACCACTTCTTTTCAGCGTAGCCCAGATAGAATGTTGGTTGTGTGTTTAATTAAAGATTAAGGCCTAAGCATTGAGTAACCAAAACTGCTAATGAATTAGAAAGCTCAACAAAGATGATGAATGCTTCCACCCACCCTGCAATGTTTTGATCTCCCCCTGCCTTCCATCTGTGTTGCTGCATCTGATTTATTTCTCCCTGCAACGAGTTCATTGGTTGGTTGGCATTGACAAAATATCACATGACTGGGGTATGTGTATGCAGGGAGTAATCTGTGGTGGAGTACATGTGTTGAGTACTCCAGATCTGAGGAGCAGATACTGACAATGTCTGTTAAGAACATGCCACCAGTGATTCATCCAAACCAATAAACCTGCAGCCCTCCAGATGCTGTGAAAGTCTAAATTTCATCATCCCTCACCACTGACCACGCTGGCTGGTGCTGATGCAAGTTGTAGCCTGAAATCATTTGAAGGGCACCAGGTTGGCAAAGTCTGTGTTGGATGTGGGGAGGGAGCAGACTGCAGAATCTGTTTTTGATTTTGAAAGAAAAGAAAAGTTGCTCCATTCTCTCCCCCCCTTTCCTGACCCATATAAATATTTTTTTGCAAACAGTAAAATACCCCAGGATGTTTATATCAAGCAATATCTGGCGGACATTGCACACTGGATGATGAATTTCAAAGCTCAGTTTGCAGAAACTGCAATGGCTTAAGACAATATTGAAAGTAAAAAAAGCTCTGCCTTTTTATGGCCATTCCATCTTGTTCCTCTCACACCCCCAGCCTGAAACTTATTATTTGATTTTGTGCTATTTGGTTAAAACGAGCTTTTGGATACTTACCGCTGTCACCCTAAGGTCTAATCAGACAAATGGCTAGCTGAGATATTTGCAGCCGGGAAATGCAGGTCTTTTGCTACAGCAATTGCAGTCTAGCAGATTTTTAGATGCAAAGCTTTTCATAAATAAGAGGTCATATCTAATAACATTTGCTTAAAAGTTCTTAGCAAAGCTTCTGTTCTCTGATACCACTGGCTTTATGGGTGTAGATTTAAATAAATACAGTATGCCTGTCATAAGGGGGATGGCAGGGATGTGTGAGTAATTCCTCACCACCACCACTGCCCCCCCCCCTTTTTAAGCTATCATCTGCTCAATGACTGAACTTATCAAACGCTCCCATACAGAGATTGGTGCATATCAGAGGGATAATGAAGGCTGGACATCTGGATGAAGGGAATTTATTCTGGGAAGCAGTAAGGGGTTGGGGGTGGTGTGGGGTGGGCTTATCACCCAGAGCTTCAAACCATTGTCAATGTCTGCCCTTAATGTGCATCCCACTGGGCAAAAAATATAGGCTTATTCTTTGACAAGCAATAAGCTATAAATCAGCTAGACACAGCTTTGGTAACATGTCCTGAAAAATGATGTTCCAATGGCAGATGGATACAACACTAGCTAGGAAAAGAGACAGGGAAACATGTGTAGTGTTTAGATAGTACAGTGGCTATGCTGATTCTTAAATGAATAAATAAATAAATAAATAGCAGCCTATTAAATATATATTTTGTCTGACTCCAAACAAATATTAAAAGCATCCAATATGTCAGACATTTATTATGTGTAAACTCTATAGTGATACAGTACAAGGTTCTACTAACAAGGGCAATGCAGGATGAATATAGAAAGCTGAAAGGTGTAGATCAGGGGTTGTCAGCCTGGTCCCTCCCGCCCACTAGTGTGCATTTCAGGATTCTAGGTGGGCGGTAGGGGGTTCTAAGGCACAAGCTGAATCCTCCTTCCATCGAGCACTGGTGGGTGGTAAGGAAATTTTACCATCAAGAAAGATGCATTAGTGGGTGGTAGGTATAAAAAGGTTGACTACCCCTGGTGTAGATAAAAAATAAATAAATGGGGGGAGAGCATGCTTATTTCCACCCACCTCTCTCTGTATGCACTAAATCATACTATTAGTCTATTGAGCTCAGTACTGTCTACTCTGACTGGCAGTGGATCTAAAGAGTTTAAGACAGAGAAAGGGAGGCTTATATCAGGCCTGCTAATGAAATTGCTTGAATCAGGACTGGGGAATCAGTGACATTACAGTTGGTGTTGGACTCAGAGGTGATGGCAGATGTAATCTAACAACATTGGGGGGGGGCAGTTTCCCCAGATCTCCTTCAGACAGGGCATTCCATATGCAAAACACATGCCCTGGCATTGAGCTACAGATTATTATTATTATTATTATTAATTATTTATACCCCGCCCATCTGGCTGAGTTTCCCCAGCCACTCTGGGCGACTCCCAATCAAATGTTAAAAACAGTACAGCATTAAATATTAAAAACTTCCCTGAACAGGGCTGCCTTCAGATGCCTTTTAAAGATAGGATAGCTGCTTATTTCCTTCACATCTGAAGGGAGGGTGTTCCACAGGGCGGGCGCCACTACCGAGAAGGCCCTCTGTCTGGTTCCCTGTAACATCACTTCTCACAGTGAGGAAACCGCCAGAAGGCCCTTGGTGCTGGATCTCAGTGTCTGGGCTGAACGATGGGGGTGGAGACGCTCCTTCAGGTATACAGGACCGAGATTGTCCTTGGAAGTCACAGGAAGCTTCTCATGTTCTTCTGCTTCCTGATTTGGCAGTTGTAATAAAGAGAAGAGGGGGGTCAGATTGCAATACACTACAGCCACAACTTCTGCAGGAGTTACGTTTCAGGGATCGTACCTGAAGCTAAAATGCTTATAGTCCAAACCCATTGGGTTCAATGGTGGGCGGGATTGCCAAAGTCATTTTTCCTGGAACCCCACACCCATTTCATCATTATTATTTTTTTAATGTGATGTGCATAAACCTGTTAACTGCATGTAAGTTGCGGGCTTACTGTATTTGTTTCCCCTGTGGAAACAGCATTGAAATCTTTAACCATTATTATTTGTTTTCCGCTTTACGGTAAGGTATGCATATGTATTACCTCATGTGTATTGATGTTTGTAATATAATTTCAAAAGCCACACACCAGACATTTCTTGCCAGCTTTAGAACGCAGTGTAGGAAATACCTTTTGCATTATGGCTGTCAGAAGCCAGTGATTTTGCCAAAGCGGAGGCCCACCCCAAACTCCACGTTTCAGACCAAAAATGATTATTCTGCAGCAGCATTTGTATCTCTTTGCCAACACACTCATTATACCCATTGAATGACTCATGTTGTAAACAGCTAAAAGATGACGGTGAACTAACATTTCCTTTTGCTCAAAACAGGATGCCTGTTTGACGTATGTTGACAACACCATGTAGTTTTGAGGGTTGAATGCACACCACCCACCCCCCGCACACACACACCACACAAAATGGATGCAGATTGAATGCATACAAGAAAATGTGTTGATTTTTTTCCATCTTACTCTAGCCTAAAATTCTGAAATGGCACCCACTGAATATGTATATGGTTTGAGACAAGATTGATGCCCTCTTCAGAAGAACTCTTTGTATCAGGGGTGGCTAATCAGTGGCCCTCCAGTTGTTGCTGGACTACAGCTCATGGGAATTCCAGATGTCCAACAACAACTGGAAAGCTTCAAGTTAGCCACCCACGCACTACTTCATGGACCGCAGATGTGTGGCCTTCTAGATACTGTTCAGTCTACAACTTCCATCACTCCCAGCCCACCTGGACATGTTGGCTAGGACTGATAAGAGATGGAGGAAAATATAGAGCCAGCTGGCCCTACTCCCAACATGAACATCCCTTTTCATTCCACCCCTTGGCTTCCATGCATTCAGAGAAAGGTTTGAAGAGGGAGCCTATACAGTGGTGCCTCGCAAGACGAAATTAATTCGTTCCGCGAGTTTTTTCGTCTAGTGAATTTTTCGTCTTGCGAAGCATGAAATCCCATAGGAATGCATTGAAATTCAATTAATGCGTTCCTATGGTCAAAAAAAGTCCAAACAAAGCCAAATTTGGTACAACAAGAGTTTATTAAGTGCTCTTTAAAGTCACACATACTGTAAAGAGCATTTCAAAAATTGAAGGAACAATAAATTAAGTTTCTAAACATGACAGAAAAACTTTTTTAAAAAAACAACAACATGGCCCAATGGTCACAGAAAATCATAAAAATTCAAAAAAAAAATCACACAAGCTCCCAGATTCTTGCAAACCCCTCCTCAACTGTTCCCCCAGCCACCCACCACACAGAAATTCAAATCCAGAATTATTTTTTAAAAAAAAAACAACAGGGCCCAATGGTCACAGAAAATCATAAAAATTCAAAAAAAAACCCCACACAAGCTCCCAGATTCTTGCAAACCCCTCCTCAACTGTTCCCCCAGCCACCCACCACACAGAAATTCAAACCAGATTTTTTTTAAAAAAAAACAGCAGAGTGGCCCAATGGTCACAAAAAAATCATAAAAATGCAGAAAAAACCACACAAGCTTCCAGATTCTTGCAAACCCCTCCCCAACACCAAGTCCTTGAATTCCAAACACCCCAACCCAAAATCCAAAAACCCCCAAAAAAGTTTTAAAAGTTTAACTTACCAAATGGCTGCAAAAGAAGTTTTGGAAAAGCTTCAAAAATCAGCAAAGTCTTCAAAAACCTCAAAAAAGGCTAC